TTATACAAAATAGGGTGCAACCAGCAATTTTGTAGAATAGGAGGACTAAAAGAAAATTTTTGTTGAAGATTCCTTCCAATTTGATTGTTTTTTTATTCCATAATAGGTCCAACAATTTTTCTTTATTTAAATAATGGACTTGAGAAATTTCTATAAGAATATTTTGTTTTTGTATTTTAATATGAAAAAAAAAAAAAAGGAGTAATTTACATTTTAAATGTTTTTTCAAAAAAGAAAAAGTATCTTGAGCTGACGGTGCAACGAGTCAAATCAGATAATATCTGTTAGCGGTGAGGTTGGGCTATTACAAATTGTATTAGAGCCAGAGACCAGGTAGTGTGTCAGCGAGGATGTGAGAGGGAAACATTCCTTATAAGGGTGGGAAAATCTCTCCCTAACATACACGTTTTAAAATCATGAAGCTATAAGTAATGGGTCAAAGCGGACTATATCTATTAGCAGTGAGCTTGGACTGTTACATGCACGTCCTAGAAAAAATAAAAGAAGGTGTCAGTTTATAAAGCATCTATTTATTTATTTTAAATAAAAATAATATACACTCAAGTTTAAAAGTTGGTTCGGTCCAACCTAATTTATTTGGAGAGAAATTCATGAACCAATCTAATCAATAAAGTTTTTATTTATTTAAATTCAATTGTATGGGTTGGTTGGTCAAATTTTTTGAATTAAAAGAAATAAATAAAATTGTTGATAAATTAAAAATATAATTATTCTTAATAATTTATACCTTATCCAACTTCCATTTAAAAAATAATATGACTCCCAATAAGATGTGGAAGAATTTATATAATATTGGTAGTGGGATTTTCTTATTATCTAATTAAAGATAAATTTAGTCTATTAATTAAGGCTTACTTCCTATTTTTGTTCTTGTTTTAGTTAATTAAGTATTAAACCACTCCTAATCATTGACCATTTTGGAGAAGTTAATAAATAATTATTTTGATTTATTTGAAAAGATTTATTCTTTGGGCGGGTGTTATCTTAGAGAGGTTATATAGATTGAATTTTTACTTGGTCCTTTAAGATAGCATGGATTTGTCACGAGCGTATGGGTCGTCGTTGATGTCGTGTTTGGTGTAATCTTTAGCTTCATGGGTCGACTGCTCATTCCCTTTTGTCTACCTGTTGCGTTGTTTTGACAAATGTGGTTGCTCGTTGCTCCACGTAGTTGGGAGTCTTGTTATGGGTTTGTCACGTGTTTTGCTTAGCTCGATTTGTGGGGTTTGATTGTCGTTGTTTGAACTAGTTTTCCTTGTACCTTGACTTCGAGCGGTGAAATCTTTAAGATGAAAAAGAAATTTTTTAAATCGAAATTATTATAAATAGTATAATATTCTCGACTAAATAATTAGAAGTTCAAATTGAGTGATCATTAAAAATTGCCATTATATTCCTTCATAGTTAATTAATGTAAAAATATCACTAAAATATATATCTCATAGGCCACCTAAAAATTTTATTATTTTAATTCATCTCTAAATATAAAAATTATGATGGGACTATTTCAATGAATCACAGGTAAAGATGTTCATCCCTATTGGACTCTGTCCTAATCGAGTGGAGAATTTTAATTTAATTGAAAAATGGAGGGAGTGAATGGGAGCGAAAAACTGTTGGGGATAGGAATGGAAAACTCGTGAATGATATATTTAAACAATTTTTGACACCCGAAAAAATGTTTAGGAACTATGTACGCATAATTTAAAAACTTATTATGTTATAGATGAATAAAAGTTTGTATTGCATCATAAATTATGCATAATTATAAACTATGGGGACCTCATGAATATTTGTGTTTCACGTGCAATAGAATACTTTTCTATGATGATGAGTAAAGACACGTACATTATGACTTATGATTTACGACATTTATGTTTGTCATGATGTATGCAAGTCCTTTACCTATGTGGTATGAGTGTTAGCCCAACGATCCAGACCCAAGGGGTGTGCGAGCATGCTTGGTGAACCCATGGTTGTACGTGTGGGTCATGTGTAGAAAAGTATTAAACATCCAACTTTTTTCATACTAAAAGTTGTATAAAGTCTTGCTATGATGTTTTAAAAGGATAAGTCGCACATGTTGCATGTGTTTTTAATAAAATAGGTAAGTCATGTGCTATTTTTACATTTTAGGTATGTATAAGAACATCATGAAGACCATCAAACCAGTGTTAAGGTAGTAACGACCCAGATTCACCGCTAGTAGATATTGTTCTCTTTGGGCTTCCTCTCAAAGTTTTAAAATGCGTCTGCTATGTGAAGGTTTCCACACCCTTACAGAGGGCGATTTGTTCTCCTCCCCAACCAATGTGAGACATCACAGTAGCCTTTACGTGAACGCATTATTTTACTCTTTTCTTTGTTTTATTTAAATTTCACGTTATTTATTTTTCCAGTTTTGTTTTCAATTTTTGATATAAACACTTAAGTTCATGAGATCGTTTTTAAAATATTTTAAATAAATATTTCCACATTTACATATGTAGATATATCAGTAAAATAGCATCTCTTCCTTCAAGCTAAGATAACAGCAGCTGCAACAAATGCTCCAATGGAGCCAATGCTGCTCGGAATGATCGAATATCCAAGACTTGGAGGTGGCAATATAGGAGCTGCAGGGCTGATCTCAACCGTCCTCGGCGGCGGCGGCGGCGGCGGCGGCGGAGCCTCTTGCACAGAAGGCGCAGGAGATGGGCTGATCTCAACCGTCCTCGGCGGCGGAGACGGGTTGGTTTCGTTAGACCCTGACGGCGAAGGAGAAGGCGCCCAAGTTTGATCATTTGGTGGCGCAGGAGAGGGAGCTGAGGCTGGCGGAGGCAAAGTGGTTGAATTGGTTCTATCAGACAAAACAACCACCACCAGCTTCTCATCTTTGAGGCAATTGGCTTTGTTTCCACTGATAAAATAGTAAGCCCCTGATTTGTCAAACTGGAAAACAGTATGGCCATCGGAGTACTGTTTGATTGGCGCTTGGATGCTGCAATTGGTGTAGGCATCTTGGGTCACTTGAAGCACCGAGTCTTGATCAGCAGCATAGTTGAAAACTGCATGATCATGATAAGGGTCGTTACTTAAATGATACTGTGAGGTCTCATATCGGTTGAGGAAGAGAACGAGACATTATTTGTTTATAAAAGTGTGGGAACCTCTCCCCAGCAGATGAGTTAAAAAAAAAGTCCAAAAGGGAAAGCATAAAAAGGACCGTATATGCTAATGGTGGACCTGAACCATTACAAATGGTATCAGAGTCAGACACCGAGTGATGTGCCAGCGAAGAGGCTGAGTTCTGAAGGGGTAGACACGAGGTGGTGTGCCAATAAAGACGTTGGGTCTCGAAGGGGTGGATTCAGTGGGGGTCCCATCTCGATTAGAGAAAAGAACGAGTGCCAAAAAGGACGTTGGGCTCCGAAGGGGGGTGGATTTGGTGGGAGTCCCACTTCGATTGGAGAAAGAAACGAGTGCCAGCAAGGACGCCGGCCCCGAACGGGGTGGATTGTGAGGTCTCACAATGGTTGGGGAGGAGAACGAAACACCCCCACATCGATTGGAGAAAGGAACGAGTGCCAGCGAGGACGCGGGGCCGCAAAGGGGATGGATTGTGAGATCCTACATCGGTTGGGGAGAAGAACGAAACACCCCCATATCGATTGGAGAAAAGAATGAGTGTCAGCGAGGACGCTCGGTCCAAAAGAGATGGATTGTAAGATCCCACGTCGGTTGGAGAGGAGAACAAAACACCTTTATAAGGATGTGGAAACCTCTCCCTATCAGAAGAGTTTTAAAAAACCTAGAGGGAAATCCCGATAAAAAAAACAACCATTACATATACTTAAAGAGATAGGTATGAAATTTGGACATACCTAAAGAGTCTCCAATTTGGAACCTGTTAGCTTCTGCCCATTGATTATAGGTTTGTGGCATTGAAACTCCCCAGCCATTAGCTCCTCCAACTATGAACTGAGTGCCTTCACTTTTGTGCAACGACAACGCCATTACTGCCCATAACAAACCTCCAAATGCAAACCCTAATTTGGCCATTTGAGATCGTTAAATGGGTTTGAAGCAGGTTTTGAATGGATTGAATGGGTTTTTGTAGGGTTTGTTGAAGGATGAGAACATGGTTTTGATACTCAAATTGATGATCTGTTTGGTTTAGATTTCTTGATTTCAAATGGGTTTATGCTTTGCTTTACTATTTCTTTTTAGAATATTCATATCTTGTGGTTTGGATTTGAAGGAAAAAATATATAAAATTATTCTCTATTGACCTTCCTTCCTTCTTCAACTCTATACTTTTTCTTTAAGACTGATTTATATGGGATCTTCTTCTTGTTTGTAACTTGGCTTGGCTTCGTTTGGTAAAAATTTACGGGTAAAATGTCATGGTCATGCTTGTTCAGAGCGTGTTGCTCATGGCCACATGTTTGTTGCATGCTAAATCATTTGTGTTGTATCACTTTAATGCTTTACTTTACCGATCTTTTCTATGTGTATGTCATTTCTGCAAAATCATATATATGCCTACTAGACCTGAAATGACTCAAAATGTACTAGCGACTAGTTGCCAATTCTTCTTACACGGAGTTATATCCTATCTAAGTTGTTGCCTATAACATTATTTCTCTCAATTCTCTCAATCTTACCGTAAGATTCTCTTTTTAAAATCTCTCTCTACCCCATTTTTTAGAACTTTCCAATGTGGATTCAGACGCTTGGGTATATGTCATTTAGCCGAATGCGACAAGATTTCGAATTAGCTGACTCACTTAATGGAGAGAGTGAGTGTCGCACAGTTGCTTACAAACGTCCTTTATAATGCATCTAATAATCAGCAATACTTCATAAATACAATATGTCATCAATCACTCACACCCTAATTTTATCTATAATTAAAATTTCACAATCTTTATATAGAAAAAAGAATCACCAAATCCAATTTTGCTTTTTATTAAAGAAAAACGAAATGAAAAACAAACGGGAATGTTCCAGGGCAACAAAATTGTCTGTCTATTAAAATGCTCACATATATCCAGACATCATCACACCATTGTTCCTAAACAAACTCTAGAAAATATCAATGCCTTCAGGTCTCAACCAAGAACAAAAACAAAAAAAGGTTTGTCAGATCAAACTTCTTTCTATTTCTGGGAATGATGTGAATTCAAGCTAAATGCAGGGCATGAAAATAATACAACAAGAAGAGCAGCTCAAGAACCTGCAGAGAGGGATTTTACATAATCGACACCCCCACACGCTATCGTCGGTTGTTGTCTAAATTATATACTAGTTGTTGCTTGATGTAACATTCTTCCCCACAATTAGTAAGTATATTAGGATACAGTTATCTCTTCAACATTCATTTCCTCAACCAATTGGACTTTTGGTTCTAAATCAATGAACTGGTTGGACTTACTAGCTAGATGTGAAATGCTAACTCTACCCTGACGCTGGATGTACTCAGCAACTGCTTGCATTTCTTCCTTTGATATGTATATATATTTCCCTCTATCGTCCATAACACCAGAAAGTCGACCTATAAAATTAATGCGTTTTTCAATCAGCATTGTACTTGATGTTACACGTGATTATCATTATCTTAATCGAAAGTTCCACAATGATAAGAGCTTGAAAGAAATCGTGACAGACGAATCCATGATGAAATGCATTTGACAAGAGAGAAAAGAATGAAAAGAGTCATACCCATACTCTCCAGGGAGGTGATCCGATTAATACATTCCTGCATTGTTGAAATATACAATGACATGAATAAGGGTAATATTTGCATAAAAGCAATGCACTGAGAACAAAACAAACACAATAACTGAAAGCCACGGTCAAAGAACAGAGAACCGTTCTTCTTGATACTTGTTCATTCTGTTTATTTGTTTTCTTTTTCTTTTCTTTTCGTTTCTTTTTTTTTTAAAGAAAAAAAAAACAACTACGATCACAACTAAATCTTGAATGCATACAACAATCATTCTAGGGTTACCTGAGTTCTGAGCTTAAATTCTGCAGCAAGATCTTCCAATGGGACACATTTATGACACTGTAAAGAAATGTAAAAAGGTTTTCAGAAATAGAGCCTCAAGGAAAGCATAAATTAAACAGCTTTAACTAAGAATAGCCAGGCTTAGTCATCCACGGGCAGATCTTACTCCCAACCTACACTAAAATATGCATATGAACAGTGACAGACCAAGCCCACCGCGAGTAGATATCGTCCTCTTTGGGTTTTCCCCTTTGGGCTCCCCTCAAGATTTTCAAACGCGTCTGCTAGAAAAAGGTTTCCACACCCTTATAAAGAATTCTTAGTTTCCCTCTCCAACCGATGTGGGATCTCACATGAACATAGTATGATTCTCATAGGGAAAGATTGCACATCTCATAACAACATGACAGACTTCACCTTTATATAGTCCACAAAAGCAGAGACCAAATCTTGATTTCCACCTTCCACTTCAGCTTCAGTTGTACCTTCAGCATCAACTGAAAAATCCCCTTTCCACTTCTCAAACTCAAGTGCAGCAGCTTCTTCCTCCTTGGCCTTCCGTGCTTTGGCTTCTTCTTCCTAATCAAAGAAAGGTGACCATTCAACCACAGAATTTCCAGCCTACTTCGCACTTTTCTATATCCACAGTTCTCAACAGAAAAGGTGAATGATTAACTAACCAGTAATCGTTCCTGTTCCTCACGCTCCTCATCTTTCTTCCTCCGAATTTCTTCATAACGGTCTTTTTTTGTCACCCTTGAGTCACGGGAAGCTTGTTCAGCCTTCAAAACAACAACTTTTAAAAGATAACAAAATGAAAGAAAATATAATGAATAGTGGAACAATATATATAGACCTGTATTTTCACAAATACAGTGGAACAATATATATTTGACCATAAGAGTATAAGAGTCACACAGAAAAGCTAAGAACCTATGACATCTGCATTTTTGCAAGTATAGTGGAACGACATATATTGACTTGTATTTTCAACACACACAGATGCAGTTGATAACAATCTAAACTTTCGATGTCAACATTTTCTAGGAAAATAGACATCAAATTGGTTCACCTAATATTATACTCCTGTACCTATCAATATGTCAAAACTTCATATAAGCTACCTGTCTTTGTGCCTCACGCTCTTGTCGCTTCTTTTCTTTCTTCTTCGATACTCTTCCATCATGGTATTCATCCGCAGCGATTTCATCATCACTTCCATCAGCACTTTCTGTCAAAAATCATTGGGAATAGTTGTCAGAGTTGTGAGTTATCATATTCAATATAATAAAATCCTGATTAAAACAATCACATATTGGTTGTTCCAAGCATTTCCAAACTTCATCCACATTGGCTACTTATTAATAATAATAGAAAAAAGTCCATATTGCAGTGCGTTTTGCTCAATACACTAATTATGAGGGGTCAACTGCCTTCAACTTCTCAAACTCCTCCTTCATTATTACAACTTCTTCAATACTTTGTAAAGATTGACAAGCTCATACTAAATGTGTGCACTAGATGTCTAGAATAGAAAACCTTAATAAAGTATCCAAGCAACTGCAGAATGTTATGTTAAACATACTATATAAGAGTAATAGTTTAAGTTGGCAAGACAGTTAGGTACCAATCTCCCTTCAGCTATTTGTTATCCCGGATTGTATGCCATTTCTCTTGAGTACATTCTTCAGTCTTGTTTTTACCAAAGAATTTCAACATCGGAATCTAAAATTTAGAAGGAATCTGGAAGAGAGCAATTCGATAAGGTTGTTAACAATCTAAGCTTTCGATGTCAACATTTTTGATGGCCAATTCATTGCCTATTGTTGGAAATGGAACACAGGTATTAGGGGGTGTGGTAGTCTTCATTACTTCTCACTATTTTTCTTGTACCTCCATTTTGCAATCCGTGCAATTTAGAATGAATTCTTTGAGGTCATGACCTATCTAAATTACTTGGAAGTCAAAAATCCTTTAGTAAAGTTCATTTATTGTAATAACCCAAGGCTACCGCTAACAAAAATTGTCCGCTTTGGCTCATTACGTATCTTCATCAGCCTCACGATTTTAAAATGTATCTACTAGAGAGAGATTTTCATACACTTACAAAGAATGTTTCGTTCTGCTCTCAAACCAATGTGAGATCTCACATTTACATCTGTGAACTCTTGTTCTTAGGAGGTTAAATACCAAAAACAAATTCAGACGAGGCATGCAATCATGTACACTTCGTATTTCAATTCATCAACTAATTAGAGAGCTGCTTTGTGAATCAAGCTTGGACATACCTGCCCCATACTCCCCTGGCAATTGATTTACAGATAAACATAACAGACTAAAAAAATTGAAATTAAACCAAAAAAAGATCATGGCAGGAGCGAAAATTGACATCGAAAGCTAATAGGTATGCAAACCTTCCAGAGATGCCCCCGCGTTCGAGGAACTAGCAGCCGAAGCAGGTCTACGACGCATACGACGGCCACCACCAGCGGCGCGAACCGCAGTTTCCCTCTGAGGAACCTGAACAAATTCCCACAACCAAGTGAAAACCCCGAAACACCTACTTCGAAGCAGATTGATAACCGCAGCAATGCCATTCAATAAAAAACAAATAAATGAAAAATCAAAGAACTCATAACGAGCCTCCAAAAGCACACCTGATCCTCATCTTCATGTGCATGAGCAGAGCGAGAATCCTGATAGCGCCGCCACAGAAACAGAGGAACCAATGCAGCAACAAGCAGCATTGACAGAACTGCCAGAAGAACTTCTTCCATATTCCAACTTCTCTACACCTATCACCAAAAAAATTCATCGTGTAACTCGATTAATCGCTCGAAAAATCGCAAACGAAACATCTTCTGAAAGATCTAACTTCTAGAATAGAAAAATTACATATGAAAACGACATCAAAGGCGTTGATGAGCATACCTTGCGAAGAGGAATTAGAAATTGGTGCTTGGGAACTGAAGATCGCCGAGGAGAATGAACAAAGAAAGCGAACGAAACAGTAATGAAGAAGAAGTCGGAGGTGCGGCGAATACGACGCCGTTAAGAGCTTTCTGCAAGTCTTCTATATATCAAAAACCGGGCCGAACCGTGTTTGCTCCGGTCGGATAACCTTATGAAAATGCCCTGCGTTGAAGCCGTATTTTCAGATATGCCATGCTGACCTAGACTTTTTATATATATTACAAAATTTAGTAAGAAAATTAGAATTTAATTTATTTGATTTTAAATGTTAGAATTTTATCTACAAATAAAATGTTTAAAATTATCCGCAACAACTCCCTTTGGGGAATAAAGAATTAAGAGCAAATAATACATTTTAAACGTTTAAATATAAAATTAGACTTTTTATATATTATAATGTGGGAATTAACGAGGATCGCCCATTTACTTTTAATTGTGAACGGTCTCGATTGACAGGATCCGCATTTATATTACATGAGTTGATAGGTACAGGATTGTGTCCTAAATGCATATGATACATAGGATCGTGTATTATGTGGGATTTGTTAGGGGTTTCCAACTGTATTATGTGGGATTTGTTAGGGGTTTCCAACTATCCTCCAGTAAACTCTCAATTAATAGTGTTAGGGGCGCTCTTGAGAACCCGACTAGGGGTTTGGCCATCGGTAGAGGTTCGATGTTTGGGTCATAGAGGAATGCACCAAAGCCATTCAACATTGCATCCATAGCAAATTTAAGTAATTCACCTTAAAATAAAAGGTTAAAATAAAGAAGAGAGATCTATGGTTTTTAAATTTTGTTTTTGCTTCTAAAATAATTTGTATTTAATTATTGAGCATAAAATTCATAAATCGAAGCTAGAAATATTTATACAAGTGCAATCTCTTTATTTATTCGTTTGCTATTTCATATTTACATAATATCCAAGGGGAAAAAACGGTAAATTCATTCGGCAGTCTGTAACAGAAAGAATGAAATTGTACGTACTTATTATTACTAAACCATCCAGGAGGGCACGAAGACACCACAAATCCAGCAATAATAGAAAGTCGACGACATATCGGAGCCACCTAAAAGCCACCGTGCAGGTGGAGGACAAGGTGGAGGGTGGACTTCTGAATGTTGTAGTCAGCCGAAGTCCGACCATCCTCCGATTGTTTACCAGCAAAGATCAGTCTTTGTTGATCCAGAGGTACTCCCTCTGTCTTGAATCTTCATCTTCGCATTGTCAATCGTGTCTGAGCTTTCGGCTTCTAATGTGATCGTCTTCCCCGTCAATGTCATCACGTAAATCTGCATCCCACCACGCAGTCGAAGCACCAAATGCAGAGTTGATTCCTTTTGGATGTTGTAATCTGCTAGAGTTCTGCCATCTTCAAGCTGCTTACCCGCAAAGATCAATCGCTGTTGGTCGGGTGGGATGCCTTCCTTATCTTGTATCTTCGCCTTCACATTGTCGATAGTGTCTGAACTTTCGACCTCCAGGGTGATCGTCTTGCCCGTCAATGTCTTCACAAAAATCTGCATTCCACCCCGCAATCGGAGCACAAGGTGCAATGTCGATTCCTTTTGGATGTTGTAGTCTGCTAGTGTCCTACCGTCTTCCAGTTGCTTGCCAGCAAAGATCAATCTCTGTTGGTCGGGTGGGATGCCCTCCTTGTCTTGAATCTTTGCCTTCACGTTGTCGATGGTGTCTGAACTTTCTACTTCCAGGGTGATCGTCTTGCCCGTCAACGTCTTCACAAAAATCTGCATTCCACCACGCAGTCGGAGCACAAGGTGCAATGTCGATTCCTTTTGGATGTTGTAGTCTGCTAGTGTCCTACCGTCTTCCAGTTGCTTTCCAGCAAAGATCAATCTCTGTTGGTCGGGTGGGATGCCCTCCTTGTCTTGAATCTTTGCCTTCACGTTGTCGATGGTGTCTGAACTTTCTACTTCCAGGGTGATCGTCTTGCCCGTCAACGTCTTCATTCACGTTGTCGATGGTGTCTGAACTTTCTACTTCCAGGGTGATCGTCTTGCCCGTCAACGTCTTCACAAAAATCTGCATTCCACCACGCAGTCGGAGCACAAGGTGCAATGTCGATTCCTTTTGGATGTTGTAGTCTGCTAGTGTCCTACCGTCTTCCAGTTGCTTGCCAGCAAAGATCAATCTCTGTTGGTCGGGTGGGATGCCCTCCTTGTCTTGAATCTTTGCCTTCACGTTGTCGATGGTGTCTGAACTTTCTACTTCCAGGGTGATCGTCTTTCCCGTCAACGTCTTCACAAAAATCTGCATTCCACCACGCAGTCGGAGCACAAGGTGCAACGTTGATTCCTTTTGGATGTTGTAGTCTGCTAGCGTCCTACCGTCTTCCAGCTGCTTACCGGCAAAGATCAATCTCTGTTGGTCAGGTGGGATACCCTCTTTTTCTTGGATCTTTGCTTTCACATTGTCAATGGTGTCTGAACTTTCAACTTCCAATGTGATCGTTTTGCCTGTCAACGTCTTTACAAAAATCTGCATTCCACCGCGCAGTCGGAGCACAAGGTGCAACGTTGATTCCTTTTGGATGTTGTAGTCTGCTAGAGTCCTACCGTCTTCAAGTTGCTTACCAGCAAAAATCAACCTCTGTTGGTCTGGTGGAATGCCCTCCTTGTCTTGAATCTTTGCTTTCACGTTGTCAATAGTGTCTGAACTTTCTACTTCCAAAGTGATTGTCTTGCCCGTCAACGTCTTCACAAAAATCTGCATTCCACCGCGCAATCGGAGCACCAAATGCAAAGTCGACTCCTTTTGAATGTTATAATCTGCCAGAGTCCTACCATCTTCAAGTTGCTTACCAGCAAAAATAAGTCTCTGTTGATCAGGGGGGATACCCTCCTTGTCTTGGATCTTAGCCTTGACATTGTCAATCGTATCAGAACTTTCCACCTCAAGAGTGATGGTTTTGCCAGTAAGGGTCTTCACAAATATTTGCATCCCACCGCGAAGTCTAAGCACTAAATGGAGTGTAGATTCTTTCTGGATATTGTAATCGGCGAGCGTTCGACCGTCCTCGAGCTGCTTACCAGCAAAGATAAGCCTCTGTTGGTCGGGCGGAATTCCCTCTTTATCTTGAATCTTTGCCTTTACATTGTCAATTGTATCTGAGCTTTCCACCTCTAGGGTGATCGTTTTCCCGGTGAGAGTTTTAACGAAGATTTGCATCTGTGAAGACACTAATGATAAGAAGAGTTGGGATCAAAATCGTTAAACTATGCCTCACTAAGGTAACATGAACATGAAAATAAAGAGCTCAGGAACCAATCCATTAATGAATAATGCACTCAAAAAGATGAATTCAAGTAACTCATGTGCAGAACCGAGCCAGAAATTTCAGGCACAGATCTACATCGTCATCTTGCATACAGTTTTTACTTTCGATTCTGAAAATCTAGGGACAAATCGCAGAGAAACTTCAAAATAAATAAATAAAAGCAGAAATTAAAATTCAAGTTCTTACTTCCAAAGCAGTAAATTGAGAAAAATTTCCGTAAGATTTTATCGAGGCTCTAAACTGGAGAAAAGGAAACCACTCGAACATGCGTGACGAATTGAAACGAGTATAAATTCAATCATTTCTTGGAGAGAGACCAAAGATTTCCAGAAAACGAAGAAACTCCAATAAACTCAAAATCAACCAACAAGAACATCTACAAATTAACACAGATGGCAAGAGAACCGCAAGGGCAACAGGATCAAAATCGAATAACGAAACAGAACAAAACAAATAATAGAACAAACCAAACTTAGAACATGTTTCGAAACGAAGAAAATAAGCGAAGGAAAGAAAAAGAGCGAGACATACCTTGAGAAAAAGAAAGAGCGAGACAAAAATGGAAACAATCTGGAAGACGAAGAATTAAAGACGAGGAGGGGATGAATTTATAGGTGTCGATCGCGAAATTTGAGGGATGGGGTACGGAGGAAGAAACGAAATTTAATGGCGGTTCTTGGTTTGCAAGCCAGGATGAGAACTGCCTCCGTTCGGTCCTATGAGTGCCTTATTTTGGGACGCTCGCTGCTGGCCATTCCGTCCTACGCGCTGACGCTTGACCATTTTCTTTGTTTAAAAAATATTATATTTAAAAACTAATAAATTTTTAAAATATAGGTTCACACACCACTCCCCATGCAATGCTATAATATTGTCCACGTATAAGTAAGCTTGCAACTTTGTTGTAGGCTTCTCCAAAAGGTCTCATACTAAGTGGAGACAGTATTCTTTAATTATAAACCTATGATTGATTAGCTTGCCTTTCATCTAACATTAACAACTTCTTTGTTCTGCATCTAAGAACCTGATTAGCATGCTTAAGTTAAGAGCATGATTCTGATACATGTTAAGAATCTTTTAGGCTAACAACTTCTTTATTCGACACTTGAAGATGACTCTGATACCATGTTGAGAATTACTGATCGTCCACTTGAATATTAGCTCTCATGACTTTGTTTCTAGTTTTGACTGAAGAGTTCGTACCAATAGAAATGTATCATTGATTATCCCCTTAGTTAGCCCATACAAAACTCTCTCTGCGCATTCACCAACATAAATTATCTTTCTTGACCCCCTTAATTTTCATGGTATGCACATCAGTTTTATCCGACGTCCCTAATTCCAAATCCACGAAAGTAACCGACGACATAACTGCTCAAGTGAGCATTGTCGTGAGGGGTCGATAAATCTCGAGGAAGAGCTCCAACTTTGCATAACAAAGACACGACTGAGGAGCCAATTCAGCTGAAGGAGGAGCGAGTGTTCGCTCAAATCGGTGAAAGAGGCGAGCAACAAGAACACCGACGATGGATCCTCGACACGGGAGCAACAAAATGATATGACTGGAGCCAGGTCTACGTTCTCCGAACTTAACTGGAGATAAGACCGACGATGCGCTTACAATTAATGTTGAGCTATTTTCGAAAATTACTTAACGTTGATCTCTCCTAAAAAATTACCTCTTTAGGCGACCTCCAATTCTAGAATGATGTATATATTTTGAGAATGATATCAATCTCATAAATAAATTATTGGTCATTTTGCAAAATGGCCCTTGTATTTTGTAATAATTTTCTCCCATTTCCCATTTTGATTTGGACCCATTAACGGGCTGCAAAGCCCAAAACTTTTAATTCTGGGCCACGAAGACGATTTGGGTCGTCTAAGCCCATAGTTCACCAGTGTTAACACTGTTCTTCACTTTTCTAGCGGCAACCAGCACAGCGTCTGGTAAAACTTCATTCGAGCTCAGTTCAGAATTCGGATCAATCATGCCTCCTGCCGGTCCTCGATCTGGTGATGCAATCTTCGCTAGCGTTGAGCGAGTGGTAAGCTTCACGAATTCAAGTCTCTATGTTGTTTTCTTTGATGTTTGGTTTGTGAGGGATTTTTAGAACATGGGAGGGAGGGAAATAGGTGAGAAGTTTGATCAGATGTATCCAAAATGGTAAATTTGTTTTTGATCTGGATGTGTGTTTTTAGGTCTTGATTTCATTTCTGTTTTTCGGTTCTCTTCTATTGATGAGAAGCTAAAGTTGAAATTGATGTAGAATGCCGAGCTGTTTACCTTGACTTATGGAGCGACTGTTCGTCAGTTGCTCACAGATCTGGAGGAGGTCGAAGAAGTTAACAAACAGCTCGATCAGATGTAATCTTACTCCATTTCACTTGCTCTTTGATCCATTTTCCTTTTCAGAACATAGAATTCCGCATTTTTTTTTCCAGAGAACTATTTTTTTTTTGGTGAATGATTGATGGGTCTGAATTACCAATTAAGTTTTTGTCTTTGTTTTATGATTTATTTGGTTTTTCATTGGCTCTCATCTCTGTATAACCTCATGGGAAGCCGAAGGCAATTAAAGAATGTGTACGGAAATTCATATCTCTGTGGTAAACAAAGCATTTTAACGTAAATTGAAATGAGTTGCATTATGCAAATTTCTTTACATTCCTTCCATAAGAGTCTTGCAGAAGCTTAATGCTTCTTACTATTATGAAATGTGCTCGAATTTTAGTTTGAGAGTTTAAATGTGCATGAGAACCACTATGGATTGATCTAATCTATTGGGGCATGTGAAAAAAACACGAGGATTTTGGGAGAACGAGTTCAAACTCTTTAGTGGCCACCTACCTAAGATAAAATAGTACATATTTTTTTTTCATAATTGAATGTTGTAGTGTCAGAAAATTATCCTATGAAAATTAAATAGCATGCACGGTATTTTTATTGATTAATTTTTAATGTTTTTTCTTGTATTCTGTGCTTTTATCTTCTGTAAGAAAGTCGGTTTTTTTATTAAAAGGAAATAGTGTGCCTGACGAGTACATACTAAGCCTATTATTTTTTCAATACTTTCTACTTTCATTAATAAAATAGTGAAAAGCTCTTTTCTGCGCAAACTTAATCTCCTTGTGCCAACACACATTAGATTCAGTGGTATGATTGTTTCTTCAATTACTTTTCAGGGGATATAATATTGGAATCAGGTTGATTGACGAGTTTCTAGCAAAATCTAATATTTCTAGATGTGTGGACTTCAAAGAGACAGCTGATGTGATTGCAAAGGTAGGTTGTAGTTGAATACATATTCGTATTAGTATCAAAACCCTACTCGGTTTAGGAAACTTTGACCAAACTCTCGTTAGGTTGGTTCTATCCACGTCTTTTTGTTGTATTATTACTTACTGTATTAATTCCTTTTATTTCTTTTTACAGTGGATAATTTGTTGTTACCATTAAGTTGTTTGTCCAGTCCTGTTGTGTATAAATTTATGGTTGTTATGTACTTGGCGGGACAAAATCTGCTTATAATAAAAAGAAACTATAATTTGGTCTATACCAAATTGCTTTAAGATTTCCAAGATTTTGGTTTGATGGCTGGAAAGAAGTTGGCCAATCCAACGGGGGGAGATACTTCTTGAGTGGGCAAAGTGGTGGAGGTAATAACTGTCCTTTCATAAACATCAACGACTAAGGAAGCATTGCTAGAAAATTGGATCAATTCTTGGTTAACCAAAATCACCTGCAAATTCAAGAAAACAGAGGACACAACAACTTGGGCTAACAAAGAAAAAACACACCACCACCAAATCAGTAGCCTCCAATAAACAATCAAGAATTACAAATCATTCGTCAGGAACCACCAAGAATGCAAGTTACCAAATAAGACACTGCTAAGATCTTGATAATTTAAGTGATGAAGAAGAGGACAGTGACAGTGATGATGATAGAAGGAGAAGGGGAGCAAACAACCAGAAAACTGGAGAAACGAATGATTACAAAATAAGAGTTGATCTCCTGAGTTTCAACAGAAAGTTGGATATTGAAACCTTCCTTGATTGGATTAAAAGGGCGGAGAGCTTCTTCAACTTCATGAATACACCAACAACATGATAGTGATTTTCATGACAATTGGACCAACTGTTCTAATAATGTTAACTCTTATGATTACTGCCTTCTTGATGGTTTTTTACTCAAAGGGGATCAGTTGTACTTGCCCCATACGTCCATTTGATAATCCGCGATAAAAGATTTACATTCAGGAGAATTGGGAGATCATTTTGGAAGGGATAAAACCATGGAATTTGTTTCATCCAATTTTTTTTTTTTTGCTACAGCTTCTAAAAGATGTTCGGAATTTTATTAGAAGTTGCCTTATTTGTCAAACAGAAAAGGTAACTTCTAGCAATGATGAACTTTACATTCCTCTGCCAATACCAGCATCTACATGGGAGGATTTGTCTATGGACTTTGTCCAAGGATTTCCTCGAACTCAAATACGGTTTGATTCAGTTTTTGTAGTGGTGGACAGGCTTAGTAAAGTGACATACTTCCTTGCAAAAAGACTAATGATGTCTTGTATATGCTAACCCTTTCCAGGGAAGTCGTGTGTCTCCATGGAATCCCTAAAACCTGAGTCTCGAATTGTGACATCAAAATTTTTAGTCCTTTTTTGCGATCACTGGAAAAAATTTGATACCACTCTCAAATACAGTATCACAAGCCATCCACAAACAGATAACCAAACCAGAGTTACTTATCGATCTTTGGGGAGTCTTGTACATTGTCTTACTGCTGAAAACATCCTAAATAATGGAACTTTTCCTTAGCACAAGCTGAATTTACCTTCAATCATGTGAAGAACGGATCCACAGGGAAGTTCCCATTGGAGAGAGTATATACTAAACTTCCTTGGTTAACTTTGGATCCTTCTAATTTACCTTCATCTGGAAACGGAATAAATGGCTGAATGGGTGGTAGAGCTACTTAAGGAGGTTCAAACTCGTTGAAAAGTTAACTTGGACTATAAGAAGACAGCTAATAGAAAAAGGCGAATTACTAACTTAGCAGTGAGCGATTTGGTTAAGGTTCATCTCAAGAAGTCTCGTTTGCCAGTTGGTTCATATAACTAATTAAAGAACTGCAAGCTTGGACCTTTCGAAATCTTACAGCGTCTCGATGCCAACTCTTATAAGATCATGCTTCCTTCTGACTTACATATTAATCCCAATTTCAATGTTGCAGATATTTTTCCGTATGAAGCACTTGATAGGTTTTCCTTACCACCTAAACTCGAGGACATGTTTATTACTTACTGTATTAATTTTTTTACAGTGGTTAATTGGTTATTATCATTGAGTTGTTTGTCCAGCCTTGTTATGTATAAATATAGGGTTGTTATGTACTTGAAGGAAAAAAAAATCATTTAATTAAAAACCACCTTGGATTGGCCTAGTGAACAAGTGGGGTGGTGTAAATAATAAAAGGCTAGAAGATTATGGGTTCAAATCATGGTGACCACCTATCTAAGATTTAACATACTACAAGTTACTTTGGAAACCAAATGTAATAGGGTCGGTGGTTATTTTGTGAGAATAGTCCAAGTGCGCACAAACTGATTCAGTACTCACAAGTATAAAAATAAATCTTCATTTAGTTTTTTTTTATTTATTATTATTTTTTATTTTTTATAAGAGACAATTTCATTGATGAGTGAAATTTACAAGAGGGATGTATAATCTATGATGTTTTCAAAAGGCCTTCCCAATTTGCAATGAGGGAGCTATAACAGTAGGAAGTGAAAATATTAGACAGTTTACACCAAGATATAGCTTGGTAAACAACATTGTCGAAAAGTTTTGTGTAGGTTTGTGTCGTTTCTGTAAATATTCTCTGATTTCTTTCTTTCCACATCTTCCAAAAGAAAGCCATGATGAGGTTTTTCCATAATAGGGCTTTTGTGTTCTTGAAAGGGTGGTACCTAAATCTTCATTTAATTAAAAAACTTTAATTTGGTCTACACCACTTTTGGTTTGCCTCGTGAGTAAGAGCACTGCTACTTTTGGCACTAGCAAATTTTTTACCTGCAATTGAGGGGTAGATTTTGAGGACAGTGTATATAGTCTGATGCAACAGACCTTTTGCAGTTAGCTAGAATGGATTTATCTACACGTCCATTTGAATTTTTGGTTCCACTGGATTTCATCATGTACATGACTTATGGGAGGTCTTGATAAGAATGTTTGCCCCTCGGTTCACTTTACCTAGAGGAGCAAGGTAGCAAAAGGTAATGAGTAGTTGGTTTTTGGATGTGGGAGTAAGCATTTCTAATGTGCGAGTCTGGGCCTTATCTAGTAATAACGGACACAAATATAAGTTTTTGTTAGGGATCTGTTTGGGTGAGTGTATATATATATTAGACAGTAGCAGCAACCATGATTGGTTTTCTGGTATTTTGGCCTAGAATATACCGTGTGAATTGAGAGTTCCAATCCTTTTGAAGCGCAGGGGATACTAGTTTATTTTCTTGAAAACTCATGTTTGTCACCTACCTAGGTATTAAAATCCTATGAGTTTGCTAACAACCAAATATCGTAAGGCCAAGGAGATCTCTCATGAAATTAGTTAAGGCAAACGCTCATGAATGTGTATCAAGTTCGGTTCCTTTGTGTGCATGAGGCAATAGTCATTTTGAGACCTATCAGGCTTCAGAGCCCTTCCTCTTCTTTTAAATGATTGTGTTTGGTTTCAATTTTGTCCATGGTGCGATTAGAACGCTCTTAACATCCCTTGACTCGATAAATATTAATAATTTTCCTGCACAGCACATCCTCTTTGGACACCAACCCATAACCATGCCGCTTGCCAAGAAAACATGTCACATTAGACAACTGCCAGGCCATAGATGTTTTCAGAAATTTAACAAATCCACAATGACCAAAATGAAACATTTAAATACATCCAAACTATTGCAGCCTCACAAACTCAACATAGGACTAAAATGGTAAAACTTACTGTTTTCTGCATGACATTGACTAGACTCTGTTCAATGGTTTTTGTTTAATAGGTCGGTTTAAAAATGTTTTTGGGGGTGAATGCAACGGTGACCAACTGGGATGCTGAAGGCACATGCTGCAGTATTATTCTGGAGGACAATCCATTAGTAGACTTTGTTGAGCTTCCTGATACTTGCCAAGGTCTTCATTATTGCAACATCTTAAGTGGAGTCATCAGAGGAGCACTTGAGATGGTGAGTTCTCTGCACGTTTTCTTAATCTTGCTTAATATTATCACCCACCATTATGGCTATCCTTGGTTTTGTTCTTCTCAATTTGTTTCTTTCATTTATTTTTTGACTTCATTTTATTCCTTGGAGAAAATGCTTTTCCTTCTGCTTCAAAATCAAGATCTGCAAAACATTTATGTTATAAGGCCTTTTTCTTAAGCTCCCACTTTGCTTTGTGGGGAAATTTTTATTTTATTTCGTTTTTTAATAGAGAGAATTACTCAGTCTTCATAATCAAGATCAATATTGAATTTGTAAATAAGAAAAATGTTGAGGTATATTTTCAAAACTTGGTTTATATGAATTTGTGTGTTTTAAGATCATTTTCATGACAGGGTTCCCAAATGCGGTTCCTGTAGATTTATACAGGCTCTTGCTTTCTAACACATTAAAATGAAAGTGGACATTAACTGTATTTGTGAAGGTACTGTTTCTGCCATACGATTGTACAAAATACATTAAATGTTCTACTCTACGACATCTTAAATTTAATTTCTATCCTTACTTTTAATTATATCTTAAACTTTTATTTTGTTATATTAAACTTTGAACTTAAAAGGTTAAAGTTTACGTAAAACTAAATTGACAAATCACTTCAGAACTGGCACAGAATTCAACAAATAGAATAAATATTCACAATGAAGAAAATATCCTAAATTCCCCAAATCTTCCTTAGAAAATCTAACTTACACAACCAAAAGAACCCACGTTGTAAGTAATCGTCTTCATTTTAAAGTTTTTAAAACAAAACTTGATTAGTTGAATTGAAAGGTTATAAGATAAAAAAATTTCTTTGATCTTATAAATCTGGAGACTGATATTTTCTCACTTTCTGATTGTGTTGTGTTGTTGGGTCAGGTGTCCATGAAAACAGAAGTAACATGGCTACGAGACATGCTGAGAGGAGACGACATGTTCGAATTACAAGTAAAATTGCTGAAGCAAATTCCCGAAGAGTACCCATACAAAGACGACGAGTAGCATATCTCAACGAGGAAAAAGGAACTCTTTTATTTCATGTCATCTGGCACAGTGTGTTCATTTGACCTAAAAACAATAGGTACATTTTTTGATTTCTGGAACTGATGTTACTTTATCGAAGTTATATTATAAATAGTCTTATGCGACAGTGATCAATTAAGTTCAATGTATATAGCGAAGGACTTAAAAAGGATTCACGTTTGGTTGAGGTGCGTAGGATTTTGTACTGCGGTAGCTGAGTTGAGTTGCTTGTGTGGTGTTTAGACACACACGAGTCATGGGTGTCAGAAAAAAGGAAACTCTTTGGCCATTTGTAGTTCATTTCTTATGAATTCAGTTGTCTGCTACCGGTCATTGGTTGCTGCATTTGTGATTGTTTGGTTTTGATTATATATTCTTTGGCTACTGTGATCTATAAATGTCAATGCAGAGGAAGCGGATTCGAAGGAAATGAATTCAAGTCGTGGTGGAGGTATCTAATAGTAAGGTAGTTGATTGTCCCGTGAGAATAGGCTATCTCATGAGTTTAAGTCGTTTGCATTTGATTTTTTGATGTGTTTGGTTAGTCTGGAAAAGGCAGTTGCAGTCTTTTTTGCTATCGGGTCCATAAAGGTTGATGTATATAGTAAATGACTTAATTTGAGTTGTGGGAGAGGTAGTTAGATTTCATATTAGGCTGATTGAATAGTTAATATCCTCTATATAGCTCGTCGTTGGTCCTTCACAAGTGCGCTCTACATCTTTCTTAGATGAGAACACACGGGTGCCTCAACTAACAAGCACAGTGAAATAAGAAAAGCAAGCATGCTTTTATTATATGTTAGATGATGCCACCTCCCACTTGACTCGAGTCCACTCAGCATAACCGCATTTCTACCAACCGACTCACTTGCCTCTTCCAACGTTGGGAATGAGAACTCATGATTTGATCTGTTAGTTTCAATGTTTGGATCATGTCGAGAAGAGAAGGTGAAAAAAAGACGGTTGGATAGTTTCTCTTGAATTCAGGTTACATGATCTTGATTAAAAAAATTGAATAAGTTTGAATGACTTATTAAGTAAAATATTGAAAATTCATAGATTTATAGGAAACAAAATAAACACAATTGAAAGGCTCTAAAAAAATATTGGCTTAATTAATAAAATTAAATTTTGTAATTTGTCTTTAAAATTTTTAATTATACCTTTTAAATTGAAAAAAAAAACTCTAAAAAATACTCAAACTTTGAAAAAAAAAATCGTCTAATATTTTATTTTAAAATATATCTTTAAACTTTCAAAATAGATAAATAATTTAAAAAATATCAAAAAAAAGTTTTTCGAATATATCCTTTGAGTTTTCAAAAATACATTTACTAAGTATGAAATATATTTTTTTAGAATTTAAAAATATTTTTAGGATAAAGTTTATTTATTTTTAAATGTTTAAGAGCATTATTAAAACTTTTTATTAATATAACCTCATAATTATAATAATAATAATAAGATTTAATAATGTAACTCTTCACAACCCAGCGGCAATCGGAAGTTGCCGTCGCCGATAAAACCATAAACCCCACAAAACAGCGGCGCGGCTCAATTCGCCCGAGGCCGGGAAGTTGCAGTTGCAGAGCTTTCGGAATCAGAATCCCAAATGCCTTCCAAATCCAAAAATCTAAGCTCTCTATTCCGCTCCGCCATTATAGCTTCAAAACCTTCACAGAATCCCCAAGATGCAGCTCTCAAAAACTACGTCTCCGCTATCGATCCCTTCTCTCCCAGCACCTCTCTCTCCAAAGCCATCGATAAACGATCCATCAAGTCCGCGAACTCCAAGAAGCTTCCCCAGAAACTAAACTCTGACGTTCAGTTTCCTGCTCTCATTTTAGAAGAGCCGTCAGGGTCTGGTATGCATGTTGTTTTATGATGTTTGGTTATGTATTCATCTTGTTTTTGATATTTCGGTAATTGGGCTGTAGATTATCTCCAATCAAAGCTTATTTTTGCCTTAGTTTTGGTGCTCTAGTGTTTTTTTGAAGCTGAAGATGAATTTTATTGTAGTTATCTCTCATTTGCAGTGAAGGGACTTATATGTGAATGATATTTGATTTATCAAGTTTTAATTCTCTCAAAAGATCATGTTTGAATGCAGGGGATTCTATGAAGCATTTAACCAAGGCCATATCTTCCATTCTGTGCGGTACGTGTTATTGAATGTTCGTTGGAGGAATTGCTTCTGAATATTTTTAGAATTCATCAGATCATAGTTTTATTCTTTAGTTGTTGATAAAACAATAGGGATATGTTACCTTGAAAATATCAGAGTGGTTTCTTTAACAGCCACTTTTTGGATCTCACGTTTCAAGTTTTTATGTTGCCTATTTCATCGTATCGAGAACGAGGGGAATGTGAGCAATTGAACTAATTTCCTGTCCAGTTATACAAATTGATTAAGTTATTTTATCTGTACTTTCATGCAAGTGCTATAATTTATATTGACTTGAACTTTAATGATGAAACAGTAAACTAAAAACTTGGGTTTCCCAATTGGGCAGGTTTGTCACTCAATACATGTTCTAGAATTATATTCGATATTTATAACTATTTGGCTCATAATTTTCATAGACATTATTTCATAAATTGTAGTCTTGCCTTCAATTATGGTTCTATCTGAATGCTGTTTTTTGTTTCTTTGCCAAGTAAACTGCTTTACCAACGTGTTATTTCCTTTTGCAGAAGGCTCATCTGTTAGGTCTCCTGATGCTCAAGAAAATGGTGATGAGAACTCTCTGAAACAATTATTAGACATACCATGGTTTTCCAACATATCCAATCATAGCATATCATTGCGTCGCAGAGAAATATCCCGTGAAAGAAAGCAAAAATGGATATTCAAAAATAGCCAAAACTATAGGTTTAGTCAATTGGTTAGAAATTGTGCACAGAAGCTGGGGACTGATGTTACTCTAGAAGTCTTTGGTAAATTGGGACGAGAAACTGGTGTGAAAGAATACAATGCACTGATAGATATATGTTTAGAGAAGGCTAAGACAAGTAAAGACTTGGAGGTTGTATTGGAACATATTGCGAAGGTTTATCAGCTATTTAAATTAATGAAAGAACATGGTTTTCAATTAGAAGATGAAACTTACGGTCCAGTTCTTGCATATTTAATTGACATGGACATGATGGAAGAATTTAATTTTTTCTGTGAGGCTGTAAAGGATGGTAATCCAGGCTCGAATTCAAGGCTGGGTTACTATGAGATGTTGTTCTATGTTAAAATCAATGATGTAGAAAAAATTCAGGAGCTTTGTGAGCATGCTACAGCTCATGATGGAGTGGACAAGTACAGTTTACAAGGTACGTCCTACAATTTTCAGATGTATCGGTTTTTTCTGCTGCACCCTTTTGTCCTCTTGCATTGAAATAAACAATTGAGAAGTTCTGCTTTCCGTGGAAATTATTTATTTTTTAAGGTAAGAAACAACCTGTTGATAATTAGCATGAATAAGAAGGGAGGTTGGGTCTGTTTGTGTCAGAGATAATCAGAAGGATCTCTAAACAGCTTAAGTAAAGAATGATAGCGAATAACAAAACTCCTTGGTATTTTCAGCATAAAGAGGTTTATATAGTCAGACACTCTCCCAACTCTTTCTATACCCATGGAAAATACCTAAAAGATTAATATTCCTAACTGATTATATATCCCCCTAGCTAAAGTAGAGTTGATCTACAGTACCTCAGCATTCTTTTTAACAACAGGGTCGGCTATGACGTAGGACAATGGCTAGAAATTTTATTTAAATTCAGAGTTAAATTTGAGAGTTTTGTGACTTTTAAATTTTATGAATGGTGGGGATTTGAACCTCCCCTGGTGGAACTTGAAGTTGGATTTTTGTCTAGTATTTGCAGTGAAAACTAAATAGCTAAGTTAAAGAAATATATAATAGGAAAAAACTGCATTGTACAACACCTTTGGCATCAACCGTGGGTTTCATTGTATCACTGTTCCTGGATGAAGGTCACAGCTATTGCTTTAAAGAGATTGACTGAACTTTTCTTTGCTTATCAATCACGGGATAATACGAAGAGGAAGATCAGAGAGTTCATACTTTCCCAGTCTCTGTTACTCACAATGACAAAATCATAATCTCTCTAGATTTCTTCTCATAATCTCTCTAGATGCTCACTTAGAACTTGAGTTCTCTCCAATCACTTTTCAGATCACTACTTAGTTACAGGTCATGATGGATTTGAAATATGCGTTCACAATGTTTTGATTTTTTTTGATAAGCTATTGTCATGTTTTTGGTGAAGCATATATCTTACAAATAGATCCATATTTTTGGAGATCAATCAGTTTGGTTAACAATTTGGAACCTGTTGTTACAGAAAATTATTTGCTGGCCCTTTGTGAATGTGAGCAGAAGGAGGAACTTTTGCAGATGCTGGAAATTGTAGACATCACAAAACTTACGTCAACTGTACTCGCAGCTAACATCTTCAAGTGCTTGGGGAGATTATTACTTCACTCTATTGCAGAGAAGTTGCTTGTGGCGTTGAAAACTTCTGGTATGTGATGATTACCGTAAACTTTTTTTGTCCAAAGAATTTGAAGCTGTCATATATTTGTTTAGGAGCATATCTGGATGAAGTAGAGATATATTAAAATTAGCAACTGAATCGAACTTTCCAAATAAGGAAAAAGTAACTTCTTTTACACCTTTTGAATTTTTGAAATGGAGACGGCTTTATTCCTAGCTGCTTCAGTGATGCAAACATGATGTCCTTGATATTTACTATCGACTTTGATGATTCATGGCTGCTTATCTTTCATGGAAGATCGATGTGCCTATATTTCCATTCCATGGGTGGCATGTGTGGTGTGGATGAGGGAATGTGAGGAGGACATGGTTTGGGTGGTACATTGGAAAAGAATTGATTTTTAGAATCAAACAAATGTCAATTTTGTAAAAACTTAAAAAATACCCATCAATACATCCCACTAAATAATATTTGAAGTTCCAATAAATAAGGATTTTTTTTTAACAAAGTTCCATCTTATAGTAAAAGATGAGAAATATCTTAGGCTTTTAACATGTTATTCACTAGTCATTAATAACATTTAAATATGTTTGCATGGGTATTATATTTATTTGACTTTCTTCAATTTATATTATCCATCGTTATTTATTGTACTCTGCTCAGATCACATTTCTTCGGCTAGAATTGTGTTTTTGGTTCAATAGTCGTGATATGCTCATCATTATTGCATAAATAT